GGCCCCCAGGCCTTCCCTTTCCCCAGCCGTTATCTATCAAAAATATATTAACCCCGAGCCTGTTTCCATCAGAGTCTCGATTCCAGGGACGGTTCCAGATAAGCCTTATCTCTGTGCTGGTGCATTAGCCCCATGCTCCAGGGCCTGCCAATCATGCTGCCCCCACCCAGCCTGTGGTGCAACACTGGCTGTGACTTCACATTGTGTAGGAGCCCAGAGGGTGCCTCTTTTTCGAGGACACACCCCAGGGACTCTGGCAGGGGGTTTGGGATTATTTGGTGTCCCAACCCATGGCATAGAGACCCCAAGCAGGTTCCTGTGTACAATGGCTACAATGAACCTGGCCCTGTGGAGCTGTCTTCCGGAACTAAAACACTGGCGCCTGGGACTGTGTGAGGGCTGGAGGGTCCTGGAGCTGGGGGCCCTGCCTGTAGCCAGCCCTGGTCAACAGTGCACACTGCTCCCTCCCACTGCAGCCTTGGCTGGGCCACCCCTCCAGAATATGTGCCCTGGCTTTAACTCACTAATAGGTGTTCGGGTTTCCACTGATGCCACGCCTGATAGAGGCCTCTCCTGGGGCTCAGTTGTGTCCTTAGGCCACACTGGGCAGGCCTGCCTCATACACATTCTCAGGGTCCTAGAGGCTTTGTGGGGGGCCACATGCTGAGCACCCCCCCCCCTTCTGTGTGCCTCTACTTCCCTCTGTCTGAGCTCTCATTCTGGGCTTTAAGGAAAACAGTCTTCAGAAGAGATGCTGGAGTTTTGGACATGGAGATTCTAACCTACATACAAGTCTGGGAGAAAATGGCTGAACTGGAGCTGTGCCAGGGCTAGGGCTGGCTGCATTGCCTCTTGTGTGTTTACAGGCCTCTGTCCCTCAGTGTGGGCACATCTGTTGGCTTGCTCCCAGGCTGCAGGGGTGTGATGGCAGCTCTGTGCTCAGCAGAGTCCTATGTTCGCAGATCTACCTCATGGAATAGTGGCTTCTCTCATATTATGGGGACCCTGAGGTACAGGCTGGGGACTTGACCATGGTCATAAACTCCATTTAGAGTAGACAGGGAAAATATGCCCCAAACTGCAGGGACCCCAAGAGGAGTCAGCTTTAGGCTCCTTGATCAGGGGAGGTTCTTGGTCCAGGCCCCATGCTGAGCAGAATGGCTTCCTTACCTATGAGAACTCAGACCTGGCTCAGCCACTCACCCAGACTTAGAGACCACCAGTCCTGGAAGGCCTCTTATGCTCCTACGAGTGATATAGGGGACTATGGGACCTCAGCCAGTTTGGCTACTTGCCTTGAGGCCCTTGCCCAGGCCTGGGCCTCCCTGTCTCTATCTGGCTGTTCTTCTCAGGCATCATAACAGGTAGGCAGGGTTGGGGAGGGAGGAGATAGCTTAGCCAGTGACCCTGACCTTCAGACATGGCAGCCTTCAGGTCTGGGTGGGACTGAATGAGGGCACAGCGCTACACAGGAGGCTTAGGAACAGGCAGAAGGCAGCCATCCCTGAGGTGCCCACACAGGTGGTAGCAGTGGGGTTCCTTGGAACTGGAACTCAGCTCCGTTGGGAAAGAAACAACTGCAGTGACTGTAGCTACACTCACTACATTTGCTGCCCTCTGGGTCACACCCAGGCCAGGGGACTGACAGGGTAGCTACAAGGGTACCATGGAGTCCTACAGCTGCAAGAAGCTTAGGCCCAGCAGCACAACCCAGTCCCTGTTGGTCTTCAGCTACAGGGTGCCCTGACTGGCTGCCTGAAGCCTGGTCAAGGATGGTGAAGGGCGGCCACTGATATTCTGGCCTCTTGGAGTCATGAGGGGCGTGGTGGGCTGATGGTGTATTTGATTAGGGGCCATGGCTTATGGGGACGCTGTGTTCTGTTGCCTGCCTCCTTTTTCTCTGCCCTCAGCTCTGGGGCTTAACAGACCCAAGTCATTTGATCACAACCTGCCCCTGTTAATATTTTTAATGCCATTTTTGAAAATTAAAGCATAATGCACTGATTACTGGGATAAAGGGAGGCCTTCACGTCTGTCTGGAGGCCAAACAGGGAAGCGCTGGGACATCTGCTACCCTTACAGGTGTCTGGAAAAGCTCCGACTCCCTGCACTGGTCAGGTCCACCCTCTCGCCCCATCTCAGTTCCCATGCTGAGCCTGAGGGTGCTGGGGCTGGAGATGAACATGGACAGGGTCCAGGTGCTCCAGCCCTGGTCTAATACCCTTGGGAGTCTGGTCCCCAAACTGGAGGTCAGAGTCTATTGACCTCTGGTGTTGACAGGGAGCCCTAGGGTGTTAGCCCCTGTCCAGGGGACCTTACTAGACTCAGCTGCTCAGAGAACCTCTGTTCTTCAAGGCCCATGACACCCAGGAGCCACTTGGGTGGTCCGAGCAGCTCTGAGTCCTCACCCAACACCACACAATACCCTGTGATGCCTGGTAACCCCGGGAGACAGGCAGACTATCCGTGGGCTAGGTCACATATGGGATGTTTATTTCCAGTTGCAGGGTGCCAGCTACTTGGGATAGGGCTGATAGTGGCTACAGACACCCTAACTGGGGAAGCCTGTGAGGCCCCGGTTTCTGGCTCTGCCAAGGCCCTTTCCTAGCCGGGCTTAGTTGCTATCCTAGGTGGTGCCAGGATGGAGTGGCAGGACTTTCTGGCACTGCTCTTCACTTTCCCCAGGTTTTCTCAGTGAGGCTCAACATCAGTGGGGATGGCAGTGGGCTGGGGCTGCCTGCAGGACTAGGGTGGCTGAGGCACATCGGGGGGCATCTGGCACTGTAGTCTGGCTGGCAGCTGGGCAGGAGACCCTGGGGGTCTGGTTCACTTAGGGAGTCTGTACCATGCGCTTCTGGGTGTCAAAGACATAGCGCTTGAAAGACAGGCTGAGTGTCACAGGCTGCATGGGCTCTGGCCGCTCAGTGCCCTCCTCTTGCTTGGTGGTCTCCCCGCGGCCGGCTCGGTTCCGCTTCTTGAGTGTAGGTGTTAGGATCTTCTTAGACTCAGGGCTGAGGCCACCTGCAAGGGATAAAAGTGTTACTGATTCACTGCAGGCAGAGCTCCATCCCTTTCCCCAACTCAGTGTCGTCCTCTTTGCCCAGCAAGGTAGGGCTTTTCTGATTCTTCCCCACACCCAGTTCACTACTAGCCACTTTGGGGCACAATTCTCTGATCTTTTGGCTCCTCGCCTGGTCCCTAAAGTCCTAATGCTCTCTGGGAACACTGTTCTATCTGCCAGACAGGGCACCTGAAGTTCCAGGCCACATGGAGACACCCTCTTACTCCTTATGCTGGGAGTCTGACCTTGTAGCAGGCTCTCTCAGGTTCTGTGCCTCTGGATGGGTTCAGAGGGAGCCTCAGCAGACCAGAGGCGACCAGGAAACACCTGGTTTAATCAGCCCTCCTTGGCCAGAGCTCTTGTGGGGGTCTTACCCAGGCTCTGGGAGACACTGCTTCTCACTGGCTCCTCCATCCTCACCACCCACCCTGAAGAAGGTTGGGCTCTTTGCCATCCCCAAGAGCTCAGCGCGATCTTTCTTCATCCAGAACACCCTTTCTACTCTAACAGTGGAAGATGTCCCATGGCTCTTCAGGGAAAGGCTGTGCACTGCAGCTTAGCCATTTTCAGCTGCAGACACTGCATTGGTTAGATCGAGTCCAGCGTCCGGCACACCTATTTATTCTTGTGTTGCGATTTACAACTGAGTGTCTTGGATTTCCAGATGAGATGCTGGGCAGAAGCTCAGGCACTGTCTGTTAGTGCCTACTGGCACCTGGGGGAATCTCCTGACAGCTCTGATTCTGAAGGGCAGCATCTACCCATAGATAGGCCTCTGACAATTTTTTTTTTTTTTTTAAAGGCAGGGTTTCTCTGTGTGGCCCTGGCTGTCCTGGAATTCACACTAGATCAGGCTGGCCCTGAACTTAAGAGATCTGCCTGCCTCTGCCTCTCAAGAGCTGAGATGAAAGGCGTGTGCCACCACCGCCTGGCTTTGACAATGATCTTGAAGAGAGCTACCACCCCCCTAAGCACTCTGCACTGGCCCCTTGTCTCTGGACATTTAAAAAGTGGTACATCTCTAGGAAACTGAAGTCAGCTAGGGATGGCCTGTCTCACTGTATGAAGGGTCTGGGCTCACTCTGACAGGCAAAAGTAAGACTGTTAGCTACCTCAAACCCTGGATCTCCTAGGAAAGCCAGGTACTAGAAGCTGCTAACAGGGCACTGGAGTCAAGTTGCTCATTGTCTCCTGCAAGAGTGCACCCACGAGAAGGGGCCCTCCTGCAGCTGCCTGGTCTTTAGCCCACATCTGTGGCTTTGCCTCCTTCCAGATGGTGCCTAGGCCCCAGAGCAAGAAGAGGGCCCTGGGCTGGTGCCAGGCCTGCAGGTATCTGAGTCCCTGAATCAGAGCTGGGCCTTCCTCCTGCTGGCACCAGACCCTGACAAATGGTATGGGCCTGTCTCTCTCTGGTGCCAGGAGGTCTGATCGCTGAAGAGGTGCAGGGCTCCAGAGCGTCTGTGCCATGCTGGGGAGACAGGTGTGGCCCAATCAGCAGTCCATCTCATCTGCGATGGCTTTGGTTACACACAGTGCATACCCCATCAGCACAGGGCACACAGGGATGGAAGAGCAGTCTGGCACAAGCAAAACTGTGGCCATTTAGCAGCTTGGTCACCACAGTCATCAGAGAAGTCTGGGAACAACACCAAGGGTCTACTAAAAAACTTGTACCAACAGCTCCTGTGGCATACGGCAGATATCACACTGTTTCTTTAGTGGCCCCCTTTCCTTTGACCAGGTGGCATAAGCTGAGGAGTCGGAGCTGTACCCACCAGAGGCACGTGGCCCTGCTCAGGCTGCAAATGTCTCTTGACTGCCCAGGTCTTCCCTGTAGGGTCGGTGGACAGCCTGGAGCAGGCACACAGTACAAGCCAGCTCCCCTGGAGAGTCTAGTTTGAGAAGACCGACAGTCAACAGGTTTGGAAGCAGATAGCCCTAGATAGCATGAGGAACTTAAGGAAATGATCCTGTGTCCCTGGGAGGGCGGTGGTGGCAGCTTTGATGTGCTTAATGCAAGGCTGTCTAAAAAAGACTGCTGGACTTGTGGCTGGACAACACGGACCATCACAGAGATTGCTGGCAGGCTATGCAGGCAGAAGGAATCTTGTGACATGCCCAAGTCCATGAAGTGTATACTTGGTTCTGTGGGGAAAAGGTACTGATTGGGTCAAGGGAGTCAGCAGGAAGACAGGGTGCCTGCATCATAGACCAGGCTGCAATCAGGCAGGACAGTGTCCCACCCTGCCATCCCATTCTCCTGGCTCTTCCTATGTGCCTGGACAAACACCACACACCAGCTTCCCTGTCCTGCCTATCTGTATACCCACCTCTGTACCCTTCTGGCTTTGCCAGTCCCTCAGCTAGAACAATGTACTCCCTGGAGTTCTAAGAGCATCATTTTGGTACGTTCAAGTCACTATTTAAATGTCATCTCTCAGGCCTACTGGCTACCTGGCCACTGTACCCAGCCTCTCTGGCCCTCATCTGCTCTAGTTCTTTCCTATAACGTTATTTCCTCTGCTAGGCTCTATTATCTCCATGTTTTGGTATCTGCCGTCTTCCTCTGACCAGTCCTACCACACTGAGGTTTCTGTCTTCGCCCATGTGATCTGCACCGGGGACTCTGGCTCCCAGCTGTCAGTGCTCGTGAGACCCTACAGGGCTGGAGGCAAAGTCTTAGACCAAGAACCCAAAGAGCAAGCATCTAGAAACAGCCTGTGAGATAGTTCCTGCACAGTCAATGCCAGCCAAGAAGACCAGACAAGCATGTGCCACGTGGGCCCAGATGTACAGAGGTGCTTGATCCATGTGGAGGTGCCGCGCCCTCCCTGGTCAGGGCTGAGGAGGAACTGAGGTGCTGAAGACCTTCATGCCCGCCCGAGGTCCCACAGTGGGTGGTGGGCAGTGCTGGTGACTAAGGTGGTCTGATCCCCATCTGTGTCTGAGCATCAAAGAACCACATGTCTAACACCAGGTAGCGGGGACCTGAGACCAAGAGGTGATGAGACAGATCCCCTTGTAGTGAAGTGATGTTCAGTAGGACTAACTGTGACTCAATGAATGTTTAAAACAGAGTCATACTAGGGGCAAGGGCATAGAGATGGCTTATTTCGTAATGCACTTGCCCAAGGACCTGAATTCAGATCCCCAACAGCCAGGTAAGAAATAGGGCAAGGATGGTGAGCACCCATAATCTTAACATCTAGGAGGTGAAGACAGGCGGATGTCCTTGGGGCTTGATGGCCAGCCAGTGTAGCTGAATTCTGTGAACTCCAGGTTCAGGGAGAATTTGTCTCAAAAAAAAAAAAAAATTAGGGACAGTAACAGAGGAAGACACACAAAATTGACTTCTGATCTCTATATAAAGATATATTCTAAATTTAGTTTAAAAAATGCAGCAGGCAGAATTTTCAGAAGAACCCTATCAACTGAGCTACAGAGAAAAGACCAGAAGGCTATATGCCTAGCCACCAGGGGTCACAAGGATTACAAGTAGTGCCTTTTTTTCTACTTATCTGTACTGCTCAAGGGTTCTGGGTAACTCTGGTTTAGGCACAGAGGTCCATCTACACTGGTGCCATAGTGTGCCCACTCCTGAACCCAGACAAGGGACAATGTATAGCAGCACATTCTAGCACACAGGCCAGCTGGAGAAGAGGAAGGAGGGCCAGATGGGTCCCCACAGCCTCGTGCTGGGGTTCAGGGCACTTGAGATCAGGAAGAAGCCTGGCACTTTGAGGCCAGTGGCCTTGCTTCTAGCATGCTCTGCAGTGCCTGGGAAGGGTGAGGCTGGGCATGGGTATGGTCCCTTTATGGGCACCAAGGTCAAAGTGTCTGACATACCTGCTTTCAGCTAGAGCAGAAATCCCAAGCGGAGGGCTCAGGGACTGGCCCTCTCAGCTCCTCAGCCCACTGGTCATTCCTGCTGCCTCCTGTTCTACTCCCTTGCCACCAGAAGAGACTCCTCTAAGGTCTATGTGACACTGGCAGGAGTATGTCCTCACTCAGGGCCCATGCCTGCCTCCTCTGCCTCTCCACTCCCCAACGTTCCTGTCTCACTCCGAGTGTCAGGCACAGGAAACTAAGCAAGGGGTCCTGATCATTTATTTGCATGAGCTGAGTTACCTTCCACCTGCTGAATTCAGACTCTGCCACTGCTCCTTGGAGCATGTCCCCTGACTGCTCTGAGCTAAATGGAGTCCCTCTTAGGAGACTCACTGGGCCTCACTTGTTTTCACTGTGGCTGTGTAGTGCCTGTTTCTCAGAGACCGGTGAATGGTGACGATCTTCCCACTGCTGGGCATGAAGCACTCTAGGTCTCCCAGGGAACATGAATGTGATGGCGGCATTCCATGCTGTATGTAGCACCCAACACCATCATACTAACATCTCTGCATGTCATCCTCCATGAACCCACAACCCTTTGTATGTACTCCCATGTGTCACATGTACTCCCATGTGCCACTTTCCCACACACACACCAGCCGTCAGTTCTCACCTATGCTACACAAGCCCATGACCCTGTATATACCCCTGCATGCCTCACACATGCACTCACCCGTATACATGTGTACACACACACACACACACACACACACACACACGCAGGCACACACACACAGGCACACACACACGCAGGCACACACACACACACAGGCACACACACACACACACACACACAGGCACACACATGCACACACGCGCACACACACACACCACACTCACACCCACCTGCACTCATCTTTATTCCATACATCTACGTGCCAATCCCTCCACGCTACACACACCTGCATGCATTTCACCCAGATGAACAGGGCAGTGGTGAAGCCTGGGAAAACATGCCTGCCCCTCAAGTGGTCCAGGGGGCAGTCTGGCTCAGACATCAGGCTGGACTTTGGTCCTCTCCCATGTGCCAGCAGCAGACTTTTCCTGGCAGGGGGGATAGTGGAGCTGAGGT